TGACAAATAGCAGAGAAATTGAACATATGAGTTTATTAGGTTGTTATTTCTGCAGATTCAAGGACCATAGAAGATGTAGTTACATGATAGCCAATGCACTTGATGAGGATGGTAAATTCACTCCTGCCCAAGTCTCTCGAAAACTTAAGCAGCTTGGTTTATCACTACCTCAGAAGAAGAGTTCTAGAGGCAAAAAGCACCAAAACGGTGTAGATGTCATGGATAGTTCAAATGATAGGATGGATGAATCTGAAGATGAGACATTGGTATCATTGGTAAAAAGGTAACTTTGTGTTTGCGGTTTTGGTCATGTAGTTCTACAAAGCTGAGGCATTGACTTCTTCATGTTTGCAAAATAACATTCACTCATTGGCATATGTAACTTCCAGAAGGCCATGGACCATTTTAATGGATACACTGTTCAAATTTTATACATAAATATATGCTTCAGCCGAATTTTAGTACTTTGCCAAATGCAATTTTTTTGCTGCTCGGATGAATGAGTCTCTTCTAGCTCTTTGGTCTAACTAATTGTTCCATGTTTATGATTTTAGGAAGAAAGTCGACAACGACAATGTATCAAGGGGACAATCACATGGGCAAACCAGCGAGGATAAATTGTCAACACATGATTTGGATGACGAAACGCTCAGCTCTGTTATCAAGTAATGTTCATTTGCCTTTCCATTTGTACGATCACTAGTTTACTAATCAATGATATCATAAATGATATAAGGAATTTAGTTTAACCTGTTGATTCTGTTGGCTCCTGATTCGATATGCTTTGATGGATTTGTCTAGTATATGAACAATATTGTTTCATTTGGATATAACTATTTTTTATTTAATTTAGGAAGAAAATAAATAGCAAGGTATCAGCTGAGAAATTGCTTGCACCTATCAGTGAGGATACATCATCAAGAGAGGATTCTGATGATGAAATACTCGACTCTGTTCTCAAGTAAATATTCCATGTTTCAACTTTTCTTTTCTTGGATACAATTGATCAATGATAGGGACACAAATTTGTATATCTGGAATTTAGTTTGAACTGTGTTTTTTTTTATATGTGAAATCTTGTTACAATGGTAGTTAAGTTTGTATCTAAGGAAAGATTCCTTTCTCTTGTTAATTTCTTAAAATCAATTACCCATTTATACAACTCTTAACCACTTCTAATTTTAGTTGTCATATTCCGGCACCATTCTTAGCATATTTAACTTTCTTTATGTTCTTATCGGTTCAGTTTCTGGATGTAGAAGAACTGAACGATCCTTTCTTAAATCAAAGCAAGATGAGCTTGAAAATAGTTCCTTAAAATCAATCACACACTGTATACAACAACTTTTAACCACTTGTAGTTTAACTTGTCATATTCCGGCACCATTACCATATTTGATTTTGTTTATGTTCTTATTGGTGCCATTTATGGATGTAGAAGAACTGGAAGATCCTTTCCTAAACCAAAGCAGGACGAGCTTGAAAATACCCAAGTTGATGATCACCTTAATGGAGACATATCAGAGGTTATCGAAATGTATGTCTTTGTACTCGGTATCATTTTTATTTTTGGTAATATTTTATTCAGTGTACAGTGATAGCAATGGGATTCATTTTTGCTAATATGGTCTAATATCACATTTTTGCCACTTAGTGGGAAAAGACATTTTGTTGCAATGGACACTTTTGCTTGTTTGGTGATTTTGGGCTTACAATTGAGTTAATTATAATTTATTTTTGGGTATTTAGCCTATTTGTTGAAATGTAAATTGTTGTAACATTTGTAGTTATTAAGATGTAAATAAGAAACAATGGGTGTTTCTCCTAAATTATTGGCCTTATAGAAACTACAAGGATACATCTCTTGCCTCTGCATTTAAAAAAATACCAAGTTAAATAGTAGAAGTCAGTGTTTTGTGCATTGTAGTTAGAGATATTAGGTATTTTAATAGTGTAATTATAGGAATCAGATAGAGATTTATGGAGAAGAAGAGCATTTATGTTTTTCTTGCTGATCTCCATTTTAAATCTTCTATTTTTTTTTTTTGTGATATAATGGTTATAAAAAGTAACTTGTCTTTAGCTGTTGGTCTATGTTTTGTAATATAATGGTCATTAAGAGTAACTCGTCAATGGCTGTTAGTCTAAGGGAAAAAAAGGTTGAGATTAATTTGCGAGAATGTTGATGCTATGTGAAGAAAGTTAGGGACATAAAATAGATTACATAGATGTGTATGTCAAGGTCTCAGTGAATTGAATTTGAATTGGCAGGGAAGATGCTGATTCCATGAATTCCTCCCAAGTAGAATATCAGCAAATGGACGACTTAGCAGATTCAGAGGATGATGTGGATGTCAGTGCATTTTCGGACAATGTGAGATCCAGAAGGAAGCTTAGAATGGTGATTGATCCCGAGGACGATGACTGAAGGGATACAGGTTTCTTTATTTTTGCAAATATTTTCTTTATTTTTGCAAATATTTTTGTACTTAACCGACTATGTAAAGCTTGGACCCTTGTAAAAATAGAATTCCATCTCCTAAGGTTTCTCCAAATTCGTCTACTCCCATGAATTAACTTCTACTTTTTGCTGACAACTTAATTCAAGATATGCGTAAAAATTGTCTCATTTTATGAATTCAGAATTATATTACTCACATAAATATGAACCTTTGTTTTTCTATCTGAGACTAAAACATCCGTTCCATAAACATAATTTCTGGCTTGTAGTTCTTACCCAACGATTCTTAAATCCTACTTCAAGGTGGTCCCTAAACCTGGCACTCTTTTCTGTTGCAGGATTTGATGTAACATTAAGATTGAACTAAGTGTTTGTATCACGGACTTAATTATACTATTTGTGAATAGTTATATTCGTGTGATTGCTGTTACTGGTAGTGTTATTCTTATTAAATATATTTTATAAACATGTTATTTTTATAATTTTTTAAATTTATTTTAATTCAAAATAAAAATATTTAAAATGGTAATAAAAAGTTTGAAAGTTATTTTATAATTTGTTTTTTTATTTTGACAGGATCACAGGATTCTTAGCACATTAGAATTCAAAGGAAAAGATTTATAGTATAAATTCCTTAATAAAAGTCAGATTTAAGAATATTTTTTTTCATAACTTTAATCATAAAGTTATAATATTAGCATGCAGAATTTTAGAGACAACTTAGTAAATTTGAAATAAACTTGTTAAGCGCAGTTTTTTGGGCCAACACGCAGAAACGGTGAAACAGTGGTTTAGTGAAAGCTATTTCTCAAGTGGGTTTGAATTAGTTGTTATAAAAAGCGATATTTTATAGGACCATCACCATTTCTTAATAATAGGGTATAAAGATAATTTTGTTATTATATTATTTAGAGGTAATAAGATAATATATAAATGGTTGGAAACATTTCAAATTATCAACATAGTCGTCATCTCATGTTTGAGTAAATATGGTTTGAGGTGGAGATAAGTTTAAGCCTAAAGATCCATTAAATTTCTCCATCCATGGAAATGCCAATTCGCTTAGTTTAACAAACCCAATTCTCTATCTGTAGTTATATTTATACTCCATTTTTTTAAATAGTATTTCCTTATAAATAAATATAATATTCTATTTGTATATTGTTATAGATATGATACTCCATTTTTAATTTTTTTTGGACAATCTTTTTTAACTATTTAGTAATGCATTCTGCAAATTTTACCATATATCCAAACTTATTTTATTTACATTCTCTTTTATTTTCTCTTTAAAATATTGAAATCGTTTCTTATATTTTCTTTAATCCAAGAATGCAATTTAACAGTCTATAACAATCTCTAAGATGGAGACTAGATAGAGCTAAGACGATTATTTTTTATTTTATATATTTGAATGTCTTTTTTCTATAGATATTGTTTTGAGAATTATATATTCCAAATATTTTTATACTATTGTATTAATATATATATATATATATATATATAATATGTATGTATATTATATTTCCTACCCGTATATAATTAATTAAAAGTTTTTGGTTTAAAGTTCACTCCTCTCAATTTCATTTATATGTTATTATGGAAGCAAGGATTTTATATCACCAATGTCACTTCTTATTTGATTAAAATATCTAGAATTTCTTAATATTACAATTTTTTTTCTTATCTAGTACTATTTCGTTACAATTCTATTTTAAATAGCGAATATCTAACATTAAGAACTATTTTTATCCTTCAAATGTTTTCATTTAAAATTTCGAAGTATATTTTATTTATATTTAATATCTTAAAAGTATTAGTAAGATAGGATTTAGATCTTTTCATGATCATTATTGAAAGAAAATATCATTTTTAACAAGTAACATATATTTATCGTTTATTACTTAACACATAAACGTTAAACTAAAAACTAACAAAAGAATCTTTAATAAATATATGAGTCTTCATCAATAGAAAAAAGAAGAAGATTTTAGTAAAAGTTACATTGAAGATGACCCTCACTTAAAAAGACAGTTGTCTTTTTCTGTTTGTGGAGATTATGAATGGAATAATCTCAAAAGTTCCTTCACGTTTTCATTTTTTTCTATTGTTTAAGGGTTACTATTTTGGTAGTGGGATGGATAGAACAAAACAAAACCACAACCCCTCAAAGGCAACTCCTACAAATAATGTGGCCCTTGATGTGCCTTGTCAAAGACAAGCAACCATGTTGTGTGGTCGAGCCATATTGGTCACACTAATAACATCCTTTTCTTCGAGTATGTGTATCATCATTACCTTGTTGAACTCTTAATCCAACTTTTTTTAGTTGCTGTGAAAACTTGTAAAATTGACTTTTGCATACTCTTCTAAACTTAAAGATACATACAAACAAAGGATATACTTCAACCACAGATATACTAGTGCTGGATTGAATGCCTTCCCACCATCAAAAACATCTTGTTGAGTGATCATGGATGCCTTCAGAATTGAACTCTTTTTGCTTTGTTTCTTATGTTCAATCACCTTCAATTCTGTCATGTGCAGTTTGGAGATTCATTGCAACGAGAAGGACATGAACACACTCCTAAACTTCAAACAAGGACTAATAGATCCTTCAGGTGTTCTCTCCTCATGGTTCCCAAAGTTAGATTGTTGTGAATGGACTGGAGTCAAGTGTGATGATATCACAGCAAGAGTAACAGAACTTTATCTCCCTTGTTATACAAATCATCCCCAACTTGTTCCTTATGGAGACAAAGATGACAAATCACACTGCTTATCAGGTGCATTCTCCCTCACTTTGCTGGAACTTGAATTTTTGAACTACTTGAATTTGAGCAACAATGACTTCAAGTGTATCAAATATAGTTCAATCGGTAGCCGTAGATGTGATGACTTTTCAACGGATAACCTTCCTTATCTGTTTGGAAACACTACCAAGCTTCGCTATCTTGATTTATCATATAACTATGATCTTCTTGTCCGTGATCTGGATTGGATTTCTCCACTGACCTCTTTGCAATATCTCAACCTTGGAGGTATTTATATTGACAAAGACATTGATTGGCTTCAATCAGTAACCATTCTCCCTTCTCTTGAAGAGTTGCACTTGGTGAGTTGTCAACTTGAAAACATCTATCCATTTCTCGAGTACGCTAATTTTACTTCACTTCAGGTTCTAAATCTCGCTCACAATCATTTTGTATCTGAATTTCCTACCTGGTTATTCAATTTTAGTAGTGGCATCTCTCTTATTGACCTTAGCCAAAATCAAATACATAGCCAACTTCCTAAAACATTGCCATGTTTTAGAAGTCTGAAGTCATTGATTTTGTCTCGTAATTATCTCAAAGGAACCATTCCAGATTGGTTTGGACAACTTGAACAACTACAAGAACTTGATCTTTCTCATAATTTTTTATCTGGTTCAATTTCCACAAGTTTGGGAAATCTATCATCCTTGACAATTTTGATACTTGAATCAAATGAGTTCAATGGAAGTCTTCCAGATGATCTTGGGAAACTCTTCAACTTGGAGACCCTTCGAGTTGCAACAAATTCCTTAACTGGAATTGTGTCGGAAAGAAATTTACTTTCCTTTAAAAATCTGAGGGAACTTTCATTGAGTTCACCTGGCTTGAACTTTGATTTTGATTCTGAATGGGTCCCTCCCTTTCAACTTAAACATATTAGATTGGGCTACATGAGAAACAAATTTCCTGCATGGGTATTCAAACACAGTTCTCTGAAATATCTTGCAATTGGAGATTCAAAGACTTCATTCGAACCTCTTGACAAGTTTTGGAAGTTTGCTACTCAACTTGAATTTATCTCCTTAGAAAGAAACACGATCAATGGGGACATGTCAAATGTTGTGCTAAACTCGAAAGTCGTTTGGTTAGTGGGGAATAATTTTGGAGGTGGCGTGCCTCGTATAACACCAGAAGTGGTTGTTTTACACTTACGTAATAACTCTTTGTCAGGATCCATTTCTACCATGCTGTGCCAAAATATGACAAATAAAAGCAATTTAGTTCACTTGAATATGGCTTATAATAATTTATCTGGAGAACTAACGGATTGTTGGAATAATTGGAAGTCCTTGGTTCTTATCAATTTAGGACACAACAACCTTAAAGGTAAGATTCCTAACTCAATGGGCTCTTTGCCAAACCTTCGTTGTTTGTCTCTGGGGAACAATATGTTATCTGGGGAGCTTCCTCTTTCTCTAAAAAGGTGCCATAATCTTTGTATATTTGATGTTGGTCACAATAATCTTTCTGGGGTTCTACCAAGCTGGTTTGGACAAAATCTTAAAGGTCTTAAATTGGGATCAAATCAATTCAGTGGCACTATTCCCAGACAGATATGTCAACTCCATTCCTTAATGGTGATGGATTTTTCAAGTAACAGATTATCAGGATCTATACCTGATTGTTTGCATAATATAACAACCATGGTTGCTAATTATGCTTCAACTCGTAGAGTAGGCTTCATCCTTAATTTTCCTGGTTTTTCAATAACCGTTGTGACTAGCATCCAGATCCGTATAAAAGGAAACGAGTTATCATATGTTGACCTGATGAATGTGATTGATCTCTCAAACAACAACTTGTATGGAAATGTGCCTTCAGATGTGTATATGCTCACCGGACTACAGTCCTTAAATTTGTCCCATAATCACTTAATGGGAACAATATCAGAAGAGATTGACAACTTGAAACCATTAGAATCGATTGATCTCTCAAGAAATAATTTCTCTGGACAAATTCCAAGTTCCATGTCTAACTTACATTATCTCGAGGTCTTGAATTTGTCATTCAACAATTTTATAGGCAAAATTCCATCAGGGACCCAACTTGGTTTTACAGAACTCAGCTATATCGGCAATCCTGGCCTCTGTGGACCTCCACTTACAGATATTTGTCCGCAAGATGAAGAACTTCATCGTACAAACCCCACGGAAGAGGAAGAAGAAGATGATGATAAATTTGAAATATATTCGTGGTTTTACATGGGTCTGGGAATTGGGTTTGCTGTGGGATTCTGGGGAGTTCTGGTGAGTGCCATTTTTTTCAACAGAAGATGCAACCGTGCCTACATCCATTGAATTATAAGAGATATCGCCAATATGGTACGTAAATAATGTTTTTTTAGGCATTTAAATTTAGTCATTTTTTATATATTTTATTTTAAAACAAATATACTCTTATTTCTCTAAAAATAAAAACATTTTTGCTCTACTTAAATCCAACATAGACACCTATATAATAATTCTAATCTATAAAATACCACATAGAAATAATATCTATTGCATTGTACTTTCGAAATGTTATTCTAACATTCAATTAATAATCTAAGCCATAAAGTGAAAGAATATATAACTAATAAATTAAATGTAAATAATTCAAAACCTATAATATATTACTATAAATATAATACTTGTCTACAATATAATAATTGTCTACAACATTAAGAAACTATAAACGAAATTCTTTTTGAGTCTTTCAAAAAAAATTCTAAACGAAAGAATTAAAATCTAAAACTACTTAGCTGCATCACTGCCACTTTTTAGAGATAGTTCGACTTATACTTCTTCATCTATCTACACTCATAATGATGATTATCATAAAAAAGATAAAACAAAAATAAAAAGATACAAACAAAAGATAGGATAACTTAATGTACAAAAAAGTCATTAAACAAACAAGATTGACAAGTTAAACAATTATATCATTTCAAAACACAACTCACATCAAGAGAGACTCTTCTAGACTCAATCATCCAATAATTGCATTAATATTGAATTATAAGGAAGTTTTAATACTCTCATATATAGTCTCCATCCAGAAGATTAATCATATATATAAATCACTATATTGATCATGACTTTCTGCGACTCTCAACCACCTAGTTCATTCTCCTTTATATGAGTGTGAATGACCAGTAAAATATTAGGATAACTTTCTATTTGAGTTCCTACTTTAATACACACACTAAGAAGCATACTTCATAAGAATTTTTCCTTGAAAATCCTATCATCCTCACAGTTCATATCTCATCAGATTTCAAACATCAATACATTTATATGCTACAAACAATCCTTACACAACTCATATTCACATAAATCATTGAACATGAAAATGACTGAACAACTTTGTTAGCCTCGCTTAGCTAATAGTGTCAAAATCTTCACTCGCTCAGTGACTAAAGGTCTTGCCTAACAATCCTAACATCGAGATTAATTTTTGCGATAAATCGTGCAACGAAGGTTAGACACTCTTAGCGATAACCAAGTCAATGAACTCTCTGACTTTGGGGTCGCTCAACAAGTATATTCTCGTCCAACGAGTTTGCATAATTGTAGAAAACAAATTTATGCTATTCTACATATCCAAACCTATCCATTTCCATTCCAATGGTTCAAACAATATCAACATACCATTTCAATATTTAGCAATTCAACTTAGTACAAACCATTACTTTTGTTGTTTAGTCCTAATTTTACTTCAAAATTCATCATATACCCAATTCATGCAATTTAGAAACCTAACCTCAATTCCCCAAATCATACTCATCACACAGCTCAACAAATCATGCAACCACATACAATCACTTAAATAAGTAATTTAAGCATATCTATAACTCAGAATCAATATAATTAGCTTCTCTTACTTGTTAAACAGTTAAATCTGCTCAAAGAAGAAACCCCAAAACAGTTTCAGACGCACATTAAGTTTTATCTATCCCTAAAAACAACACAATCGTGACCATGGTACATCATTAGACTACTGATCAACATAAAATCTTATAGAAGACTATAAAGACACATACAAAGAAGATAAATCCACATGTAAAAGAAGAATATGTTGAACCTATAAAAAAAAGTAAAAAACTAACTTACCCAAATTGAGAACTTGATTGATTGATTTTGAAAAGTTATCATAAAAAAGTAATCCTACTATCTCATTTCTTCAAAAGGTAAATAAAAAATAAAATAATTTTAAAAAAATGATAAACTCTATAAAAATAATTTTTATAGAAACAATATATTTTAAAATAATAAAATCTTTTTATAAAATTTTTATTTATACTTAAAAGTTTTATTATTAAAATAATTAAAATCTGTTTATTTTAAACACATTATCTATTTAAAATACCATATCTTTTTACAATCTTATCCTATTTTGGTGGGTAAATACTTTTATGGCACTTTTATATTTAGATTACTCTTAGCTACATCTCACATATTTATATCAATAGATATTAACTCTAATTATATATAGAATCTGCATAATACTTTTATATTTTATTTTTTAAAGAAGTGTATTTTTGTTCAACATATATTTGAAAAAAATAATTTAATTCTTCATTGTTATTTTATTTATTTTATTATGTAAGTCTGCATCAAATTTTTATTTTTACGAAAACTTATATTTATTCCATAAAAAATAATTTAACTATTTTTTCATCAGTAAGAACACGCCCACAATAATTAATATATAACTACAGTCACTTTTAATGCATTGCAGGTCTTTAATGTTCATGCCTTGACACGTTACTTTGTACAAAGGTTCTTCTAAGATGACAAAAGGTTCATCATGTCTTATATACAAATAAAAAAAATGGTATTTACACTTACACATGATGATAAGTAATCACACAATGATCAAACCAGATGGGTATGAAGTAGTGTAGTATCTTTAACAAAAGTTTCTATTTTGTTCTGTGGCTCTGAGTTTCACAGCGAACAAAATTAAAATGTTGATATACTTAAAGTAAGATATAAGTAAGATCATTTTAACTTCATACACTAATTTTTTTTTAAAAATGAATTAGACTTAAATTTAAATCATAATATAATATCGATTAAATTAATTATGTCATCATTATTAAATCATTATCAAATTACTCTATAAAATGTTTAATCTACACATAAAATATAGATATAACTCGGCATATAAAATATATAATTTTATTAAGTAAACAAATTCTTATATCATGTTTAATAAATTTTTCTTTTTTAAGTTAAAAGTATGAACTTCTAAGTTAAAAAGGTTCTTATAAAATTTAAATTTAACATTTTTAAATAAATAGATTAGGAGAAGTTATAATTTTTTAAATAATCTCTTTTAGTATGTTCTTAATAGTCCTAATATTATATTAAAGTAATTAAATTAAATTTAATTTAATTTAATTTTAGAAAATTAATTTTATAAAATAAAATTTATATTAATTTATATATCTCTTGACTACGTGAGATATATGGAAAACTTAGAAATTCAAATTTTGAGAGTTTAATACTTTAATATGTTGTTTAATAATAATTAATGTACTTATATACAGACTAACACTACAAAAAAATAGATTTTTACCGGGGGTTATTTTTTCCGTTTCCGGCGGTTTTAACTCCCGGAAAATATGTTACCCGCGGTTAGTAAAACCGTTGGGAAAACCTGCGTCGCTAAGTAATTACCGGCGGTTTTTTAAAAAACCGCCGCAATTAACGGGGGTTTTGAAAAACCGCCGGTAGTAGTGGGGGTTTTAATAAAACCGCCGGTAGTAGTGGGGGTTTTACTAAAACCGCCGGAAATAACCGGGGTTAAACCAAAACCGCCGGTAATTTGTGAGGGTTTATGAAAACCGCCGATACTTTTGAGGGTTTTCCAGAACCGCCGGAAATATATATAATTTGATTTTTTTTATTATTCAAAAGACTTGATTATCATTAATAAACCAAAATTAAATGTAAACATTAAATATAAACCAAAATATTATTATATAAATTTTAAACATTATAAATACAATTAATGTTTCGTAAAAATTAAAATTAACATGTTATGAATAATAATTATAGTTATGTACTTCTTCATTATTTTCATCATTTGGTACTTCTTCATTTTATCCATCATTTGGTACTTCTTCATTTTATCCATCATTTGATATGCTTCCTTTTTCAAATACCTACAATATAAAACAATAATTAGTTAATAATATTTTAAAATAATTATTAGACGAATTTAAGAACTATTGATGTTGAAAAATGTTAAAATATGATATAATAGAAACTAAATCCAAGTATATCGATGAAAACAAAAGGTTAAGCATTTTATGGAAAGTAAGAGAAAAAAAAAACTAAGTCATCTAAGGAGTAAAAGGTCCAGCTTAGAATACCTTATTAACAAGCAAGTTCACTTGTTCTCTGTACATTTTCTTCAAGTCTACAATATCCGCATGAAGTTCCTCCAGCTAAACACATTGAATGTTCTTTAGTATCCCTCTCATAAAATAAGGCGATTGGTTTCCTGTATTGAACATAAACTCATATGTTAGCATCAAGCCATCCATACCAAGCTTTTCTTTATCCGATAATAATACAAAGAGACCTTAAGTAAAAAGCTAATAAAGAAATCATGAAATGAGACCAAATGAAGTTTTACACAATTCAATGAAACTGCAAAAGATAATGCATGTCACCAATGGCTAACAAAAAAAATTAATAGTTAATATATTAAATATATAACGTATTTGGATTAGCTTCACCAATGGCTAACAAAAAAATTAACAGTTAATAAATCAAATATATAACGTATTTGGATTAGCTATGAAAAAGATTATTTATAATCAGTTATTGTCACAATCCGTTATAAAAAAGAATTGTTTGGATATGCTATGTGACAACATATTATAAGATAGTCTATTTCAATAAATAAGATGTCGAATAAATCACATTTTTCATAATTAAGTTAAAAATAAAAAAAGTATTAAATTATTTGTCATAATTTATTTCGTATTATAAATCATAAACACTTTAAGGTTAGAAATAAAATAGAAAAACAAGAAAATCACCTATCAGATTTTAATAATAAGCTTCAAGATTTTGCATAAAATAAGATAGATTTTTCCTTTAGCTCCCCAAAATCATATCATTCAAATACGCACCTAGTTTCTGAAACATAGCTGAAACAACTTGTAATACTCTATCCCAGACTATAGTAATAATCAAGTAAGCTCTCAATAGTTGCACAACAAAACTTGCACAAACAGGAAACTAGAGGAACAAATGCATATCAATGAAGAAACAAAAGGAGATCAATGAATAAATGCAAATCATCATGTACACCTTAAGAAGATGCATTAAATAATTAACAAAGCACGTTTTTAGTACCCCAAGCTTCATCCCAGAGAAAAATGTTCATCTTTTTGAATCATGACAAATGTTCATCTTTTTAACAGGTTAACCTTTTTTATAAACCTTTTTAATCTGAGAACTAAGCCTTCTCATAACTAGGTGGGGCCAAAAACATAGATTTAATGATATGAATTACATATGCTTTTGCAAACCCATTTAGAGTAAAGTCTCTTTAACTGGTTACTCCAAAAGTTCAGTTTAGTTTTAATTCATGCCTTCTAGTCAGTCTATTTGAATTTGACCATATGGGCAACCCAACTAATCCAATACCTTAAGAACTGTAGCTATCAACATGGTTAGTTTAAGCAATAAAAATAAAATCAGTACTACATAAAAATGCTTACCATGGACCTCATCAACTAATCGCTTGAAATCCTCAAGAGTACCATATCTGCTACTAATAGCAAAATAATTTGTAACCTGCACCATTGAATCAATGTTTGAGCATGTCACTAAAGGTCAGAGTGGTAATAAAATTCTAGCAAAACTTATAAACAATTATAAGCAGCATGCCAGTATGTACAAGGTGTGCACATAGTTTGTGTCAGTGTCAAGACTTAAAAAAAACATGTATGCCTTTTGTACAATTCATACACATAACTTAAAATAAAGAATCTTAATCATTGTGTAATTACCATGAGAAAAATAAGAATTACAACATTAACTTACTCTGTAACCAACAGTAAGATAATCCTTATGTTCAACAATTACAATCAGCTGGATGACATTGTATCCAGCTTCCTTAATGTAAGGAAGAACCTGCATTGTTTATTGAGAATATTTTGCAACAATAAAAAATCAACAGAACCAATTACAAATATAGACATGGAAGATATGTATAATGGAATAATTATAAATTCCAACCAAAAGAAATGGGGGAAACCTTGTCTGTGAAATCATTGAATGAGGATATTTTGGGTTCAGAACCACTAATTTCAACATGAGCATCGTATATTCGCTGGGATTTTGGTACTTTGGGACTTCTATTTTTCCACTTTTATGCTTGCTCAGGGGGTGGTTCCAAGTGAATTGCATAAGCTTGCTTCCCATCAACCTCTGCAATGCATTAAATCAGCATCATTGATAACACAAATCAAAAGGACCTCCATCTCCATCCTCCAAAAACAGAGTGACCAAAGGTCCAGACGGATTTTTCCATAAGCACTTCAAGGAAAAACTATATAAAAAAGTTACAAATAAAAATTTAACATATCTTCTTATTTTAACATATCTTCCAAGTCCAAGATGCATTATAGTTAATATGTAAGAAACAATCATAAGAATCCATATAAGATTGAATAACTTTCAAGAATCCTTATAAGATTTACCTGGCTGCACATATGTACCCCAAGCAGGCACCCTCTCCAATGGTCGATTAGGAGTGTTTTCTGACAGTGGATAGTGACAAAGAAAACTCAAACCATCTGTAATGTGCCTTGTGACTAGGGGTAAATGCAGATCCAAGAGATATTTGAAGTAATTAAGAATGCTGGTCTTAGATTTCCGTGACAAAAAAAGGAAGACATTCTTTCAAGACATCAAGAATATAGAGAGTTTGTTGAGCTTCCTCAGTTCCTTCACCAGTACTTGCATTTGCTCCACCAACAAGCAATATAAACCAAACGCGACTTCACCCAACATTTTCACCACTGCAAGCCACCGTGAGAAAAAATTAGAACCTGCGAAAATCCCCAAATCAAAGACCAGAAAAATCCCTAATCACGATAACCCTAACTCAGGCAGATGTTCAACCCCAAATTCGCGGACCTTAATCGCGAGTTTCTCCACGTCGCCGGACCACTACAACTCTTCCATGTAATCCACCGCAAACAGCGCCTCTCGCGCCTTCATCTTCTTCGAGCTTCTATGGAAACCTGCAAAATCAGAAACCCAAGGCAGACCTACAGATACATAAGGAAATGGTAAGTGTGAAGACAATGGAGAGGGAAATAGAAAATGGAAAAAAGGAAACAGATGAAAGTCGTGCAAATTATTTTTTTAACAATTAAGCCGAAAATTACTCGAGGTTCTCAAAGCCGCAGGAGATAAACCCCTATTATAATACATTATTTTTGTAGTGTAAGTTAACTTTTGTGTCCTTAATCAATAATTATACTATTCAACTTATTATCCTCTTGTGCATACACCCTTTTTCTAAACTTCAATACACCATCAGTCCCATATTAAAGTTCTTAGCATGGTCAATCTCCAATAATTTGATAATCTTTCTCAAATTAAGATCCAAACAACTGTTTTTCTTTAATTATTTTTAAAGTAATCATTGGTTATAACTAATTGGCAACAACTAAGTGATTAACATGTATTTCTATCTCTAAATTCAGGTCTCTGAATTATTTTATCAGTTCCAACTCCTTAATCACCATACTATATACTTACACCTTTCCTACTAAGAGTATCACAACCACATTTGTCTTTGGTGGGTGGTATATTATTTAACTCATAATCCTTAAAATATTTTATCCACCTTTTTGTGACATATTTAACTATGCTTAAACAAGTATTTTAGACTCTTTTGATTACTAAACATCATAAACTTTGTACTGTACAAGTAATGTCACCAAATTTTCAATAAAAACACCATAATTGTTATGTCAAAATCATAAGTATTCTCTCGTGATTATTCAATTGCCTTGGAGCATAAGCTATTACCCTAATTTCTTGCATCAATACGCATCTCCACCTTGAACAGCACTAGCCTGGAAAGTATGTTCTTGATTTTGCCTCCTTTCTCATTTATGTGCTTCAAGAAAGTGTTGCAAGGCCTCTACCTCCATTTCCTCATAGTCTTTTGATTCCTCGATTGCTACTACAACATGATCAAATTTCTCTGCAAGGTTCTCAGTATTTTATCAACAATTTGCTAATTATAAATTGTATCTTTGCAGGCCTCATTGCATTATAACGTGTTCTTGAACTTTATCAAAGTAGTCATTGATTGTTTCATTCTCGTCCATGCTGAGAAACTCGAACTGCCTTTCAAAATCTCTGTAACTTGATCTTCTTATTCTTATCTCCCGTATGTCTTCAATAGTGTCTCCCAACACTATTTGCTGTTTTTGTCTTGGAAATTTTGTTAAAAACTTTCAGTTCAACACATTGGTAGATCTTCTTATTCTATATGATTGTATATTATATATATGATTATATTATGTAATTATATGTATATTATTGATTGAATGTCGTAGGTCTTAAAAATAGCCGCAGGACTTGGAATAAATACAGAAACCCTAATGTGTCAAGTATCATAATAACAGGAACTAAATCTGTAAAGCTTAAACCAGTAACAAAAATAAAAAAAATAAAACTGAAAACGAAATCAATGAAATTACAATAACACCTTAATTTAAGTTTATCCAAAAACCTTGCTGTCTAATTTCTGAAGATTTTTGANTGCTACTAATAGCAAAATAATTTGTAACCTGCACCATTGAATCAATGTTTGAGCATGTCACTAAAGGTCAGAGTGGTAATAAAATTCTAGCAAAACTTATAAACAATTATAAGCAGCATGCCAGCATGTACAAGGTGTGCACATAGTTTGTGTCAGTGTCAAGACTTAAAAAAAACATGTATGCCTTTTGTACAATTCATACACATAACTTAAAATAAAGAATCTTAATCACTGTGTAATTACCATGAGAAAAATAAGAATTACAACATTAACTTACTCTGTAACCAACAGTAAGATAATCCTTATGTTCAACAATTACAATCAGCTGGATGACATTGTATCCAGCTTCCTTAATGTAAGGAAGAACCTGCATTGTTTATTGAGAATATTTTGCAACAATAAAAAATCAACAGAACCAATTACAAATATAGACATGGAAGATATGTATAATGGAATAATTATAAATTCCAACCAAAAGAAATGGGGGAAACCTTGTCTGTGAAATCATTGAATGAGGATATTTTGGGTTCAGAACCACTAATTTCAACATGAGCATCGTATATTCGCTGGGATTTTGGTACTTTGGGACTTCTATTTTTCCACTTTTATGCTTGCTCAGGGGGTGGTTCCAAGTGAATTGCATAAGCTTGCTTCCCATCAACCTCTGCAATGCATTAAATCAGCATCATTGATAACACAAATCAAAAGGACCTCCATCTCCATCCTCCAAAAACAGAGTGACCAAAGGTCCAGACGGATTTTTCCATAAGCACTTCAAGGAAAAACTATATAAAAAAGTTACAAATAAAAATTTAACATATCTTCTTATTTTAACATATCTTCCAAGTCCAAGATGCATTATAGTTAATATGTAAGAAACAATCATAAGAATCCATATAAGATTGAATAACTTTCAAGAATCCTTATAAGATTTACCTGGCTGCACATATGTACCCCAAGCAGGCACCCTCTCCAATGGTTGATTAGGAGTGTTTTCTGATAGTGGATAGTGACAAAGAAAACTCAAACTATCTGTAATGTGCCTTGTGACTAGGGGTAAATGCAGATCCAAGAGATATTTGAAGTAATTAAGAATGCTGGTCTTAGATTTCCGTGACAAAAAAAGGAAGACATTCTTTCAAGACATCAAGAATATAGAGAGTTTGTTGAGCTTCCTCAGTTCCTTCACCAGTACTTGCATTTGCTCCACCAACAAGCAATATAAACCNAATGTTAAAATATGATATAATAGAAACTAAATCCAAGTATATCGATGAAAACAAAAGGTTAAGCATTTTATGGAAAGTAAGAGAAAAAAAAAACTAAGTCATCTAAGGAGTAAAAGGTCCAGCTTAGAATACCTTATTAACAAGCAAGTTCACTTGTTCTCTGTACATTTTCTTCAAGTCTACAATATCCGCATGAAGTTCCTCCAGCTAAACACATTGAATGTTCTTTAGTATCCCTCTCATAAAATAAGGCGATTGGTTTCCTGTATTGAACATAAACTCATATGTTAGCATCAAGCCATCCATACCAAGCTTTTCTTTATCCGATAATAATACAAAGAGACCTTAAGTAAAAAGCTAATAAAGAAATCATGAAATGAGACCAAATGAAGTTTTACACAATTCAATGAAACTGCAAAAGATAATGCATGTCACCAATGGCTAACAAAAAAAATTAATAGTTAATATATTAAATATATAAAGTATTTTGGATTAGCTTCACCAATGGCTAACAAAAAAATTAATAGTTAATATATTAAATATATAAAGTATTTTGGATTAGCTTCACCAATGGCTAACAAAAAAATTAACAGTTAATAAATCAAATATATAACGTATTTGGATTAGCTATGAAAAAGATTATTTATAATCAGTTATTGTCACAATCCGTTATAAAAAAGAATTGTTTGGATATGCTATGTGACAACATATTATAAGATAGTCTATTTCAATAAATAAGATGTCGAATAAATCACATTTTTCATAATTAAGTTAAAAATAAAAAAAGTATTAAATTATTTGTCATAATTTATTTCGTATTATAAATCATAAACACTTTAAGGTTAGAAATAAAATAGAAAAACAAGAAAATCACCTATCAGATTTTAATAATAAGCTTCAAGATTTTGCATAAAATAAGATAGATTTTTCCTTTAGCTCCCCAAAATCATATCATTCAAATACGCACCTAGTTTCTGAAACATAGCTGAAACAACTTGTAATACTCTATCCCAGACTATAGTAATAATCAAGTAAGCTCTCAATAGTTGCACAACAAAACTTGCACAAACAGGAAACTAGAGGAACAAATGCATATCAATGAAGAAACAAAAGGAGATCAATGAATAAATGCAAATCATCATGTACACCTTAAGAAGATGCATTAAATAATTAACAAAGCACGTTTTTAGTACCCCAAGCTTCATCCCAGAGAAAAATGTTCATCTTTTTGAATCATGACAAATGTTCATCTTTTTAACAGGTTAACCTTTTTTATAAACCTTTTTAATCTGAGAACTAAGCCTTCTCATAACTAGGTGGGGCCAAAAACATAGATTTAATGATATGAATTACATATGCTTTTGCAAACCCATTTAGAGTAAAGTCTCTTTAACTGGTTACTCCAAAAGTTCAGTTTAGTTTTAATTCATGCCTTCTAGTCAGTCTATTTGAATTTGACCATATGGGCAACCCAACTAATCCAATACCTTAAGAACTGTAGCTATCAACATGGTTAGTTTAAGCAATAAAAATAAAATCAGTACTACATAAAAATGCTTACCATGGACCTCATCAACTAATCGCTTGAAATCCTCAAGAGTACCATATCTGCTACTAATAGCAAAATAATTTGTAACCTGCACCATTGAATCAATGTTTGAGCATGTCACTAAAGGTCAGAGTGGTAATAAAATTCTAGCAAAACTTATAAACAATTATAAGCAGCATGCCAGTATGTACAAGGTGTGCACATAGTTTGTGTCAGTGTCAAGACTTAAAAAAAACATGTATGCCTTTTGTACAATTCATACACATAACTTAAAATAAAGAATCTTAATCATTGTGTAATTACCATGAGAAAAATAAGAATTACAACATTAACTTACTCTGTAACCAACAGTAAAATAATCCTTATGTTCAACAATTACAATCAGCTGGATGACATTGTATCCAGCTTCCTTAATGTAAGGAAGAACCTGCATTGTTTATTGAGAATATTTTGCAACAATAAAAAATCAACAGAACCAATTACAAATATAGACATGGAAGATATGTATAATGGAATAATTATAAATTCCAACCAAAAGAAATGGGGGAAACCTTGTCTGTGAAATCATTGAATGAGGATATTTTGGGTTCAGAACCACTAATTTCAACATGAGCATCGTATATTCGCTGGGATTTTGGTACTTTGGGACTTCTATTTTTCCACTTTTATGCTTGCTCA